CAAAGAACATTTTGAGAAAAGAAAAAAATGTTAAAAATGATGTTTTCTGTTTTTAGAAAATGGCACAAGTTTTTTTTGCTTTTTTTTTTTTGAAAAAAATGGCTAACCAAACAGCATATGCCGATGTATTTTTTTATCATTTTCTCAAAATCTGATAGGGCTCCAGCGGGGTGCAGTTTTATCAAAAGGCAGCAATGAAACCAAACACACCCTATTTTACAGCATCCAATTGTATGAAAAATGGCTGTAGTAAAAAGGCATCAAGAGTAACTACTAATTGTAGCAAATGGCATTGCTTCCAAACTTTCAGAAAGTGATTGGCGTTTGTGATTAACATCTTGCAAGACTAAGTATTTATTCCAAGTGGAACACCAAAATAATTAGGAATATAGTTTGTTTTCCTATTAAATATCACTTTCCAAGAAAATTATTTGTTTTGCTTCATTTTATGGATTCAATTACATGAATCTTGTTAAAGTATCGGTTTCTAAATCATTTCTCACACTTCAGGTGGCTTTTTTTCTTAATGCTAAGACAGAATATGTAATATGTGTGGTCATCACTACGGGTGGATTTGAGCCGAACCGAATACTTGGCTATTAGATTGTGGCTCGTTGAAATTGTGTTAGGCTCAAGCTCGATTCGAGCTAGAGACTAGAGTTTGAGCTTGGTTCGGCTCGAATTCGACTACAAGCAAAGTTCTTTTTTTTTAAATAAAAATTATACATATAAAAATATTTTTTTATTTCACACAAAAATAAGAATTATAAAAATTATTTATTATATATATTTATATATTTATATGTATATATATGTATATATGCATGCACATGCATGCATGTATGTATGTATGTATGTATGTATGTATGTATGTATGTATGTATGTATGTATGTAATAAAAATTACTTATTTATTATACTAGGCTCAATAAGGCTCGTGAGCCTCACGAGCTAAGCTTCACTGGGCCTCAAACTTGACTCAAAGCTCAGTTTAAGCTAAGCTAAGCCGAGCTCGAATAGCTCGTGAGAAGCTTGGCTCGTGGCCACCTCCAGTCGTCACACACACACACATACACACACACACACACACACACACACACACACATGGTTTTCAAAACTGGGATGGACGATCAGATTGGAAAAGCTGGGATGACTAGTTCTATTTTACCCCAAAACCATTTTTTGGCCAAAAAACCATTGATTTGGTTAGCGAACTGTTGACTCAGGCGGTTGAACCGTCAACCCAAACAATGGTTTTTGGTTGTTTTTTGTTTTTTTTAAAGTAATTTTTTATTTTTTCTATCAAAGCATGCCATCTGTTCAAATAAGGCGATTGAACCATTCGACCCGAGAACCAAATCCCATAATGGTTCCTTATCTGGTCCGGATTTAAACCGATGGTTTGGTTCGGTTTCGGTTTTCACACATGAAAACCGAAACTGAACCGACCTTAACCGACTTAGATATATATTGTATATTTGTGGAAATATATATTTATTTCAGATATATATTTGTGGAAATATATATATATATATATTTCAGATTTATTTCAGAAATATACATATTATATATATAATTTATGATATATAAAATATCAGTTTTAATCCATCAAATCATTTTTAATTTCCGGGCATCCAGCATTTGCTTTGTTAGACTTGAATCCTTTACCATTCACACCGAGAGAATCATTCACAAAGCCGACCCAAACCGATTCAAACTAACCAGGTCCGTTTTACTTAGTACTGGGTCAATTTCGGTTTCATTTTTAGGTAAACCGACCAGGTCGGGTCGGTTGGAAAAACGCTAGTAAATCGACCCAACCCGACCAGTGAACCCTAACAAGATTTATGAAAATTTTTCATATTACCAAAACTTGTCCAAAAAAATTCAAAAATTTATTATTATTATTATTATTATTATTATTATTATTATTATTATTATTATTATTATTATTATTATTATTATTATTATTGCTGTTGTTGTTGTTGTTATTTCCAATAAATATGATAAATAATAAATTACCAAAAATCACCATAAATAGCATTTAGTAGACATGAGCATAAATTGTCATAACTTAGTATATATGAACATAAATTGACTAACAATATAAATTAACATAGCAAAATCTTATCAATAATTATAATAAAGAATATGATAATTAATAGAAATAGATAATATGATGATCAAGAATATGATAACTTAATTGCCATAAATTAGTAGAGATGAGTATAAATTAATTGTCATTGGAAGTTATGTGAAAGTAACCCATTATAAAAGTAACATTAGATTTACTTTTCTTGAATAATATAACCCCTCTTCTTACATGTTAAACATCACAACAGGATATATTATTTCTACCGTGAAAAATATAAGGTTGTCTTTCAACTCCTTCACTATAGAGGAGGAATTGCTTCGGTCATGGTATATAATGATTGATAATTACTACTTTAAATAAATTAATAAATATTTTTCTCAATAACTAAAAGTTAATGTATACAAGATTTTTACTTCACGGGTTCGATGACAATGAAAAGACGATCAAGATGGTTCAACATTAATATAAATTATGGAAAATTTAAAGTGCACTTTATGTTTACGAACAATGTATTATTGAACCATATTATTTTTGTATAATATCTATATTGCTCTTTTCTTATAGATTATATATCATATAATTTATACATTACAATCCTTCATTATGATGGTATTATACTATATTGTTGTGATGTCAAACATAAAATGTATGTTTACTGTTATTTATTTCTATTATTTCACTTTTTTTAACAAATCTCATACATCGCATAGGTCTCCGCTAGTTCATTTTTAATTTATAGGTACTTAAATCATTTTTTTACTATTTGGACTCATGTCCTTTTTGGTTTGTCACTATTAAAAGTCCCTTCAACTTGTAACAAATCGCTTCTGACAAGTGCTATAAATGGTCTTGCAACCAAACTATATTAATCTACCTTCTCTCATTTTATCATTTACTATTAGATCTTCTCCTAAGTTTGAATCACTTCATTTCTAATTCTAGCATTTCTAGCTTTTATTCCACTCGTCCATCTCAGTATATATGCTTTTCTGCTATATTCAATACAGCATAAGTGGCCTTACAACTTGAAAGTTGGAACCTTAACATGTGTAACATGTGAATATTATAGTGACTATCATGCTAGCCAACGCCTTTCATAAATGGCATTAATAAAATCGTCATTATTAGAGATAATAATAAATTAAAGAAATTTGTTGAAAAAGCAATTGCTTTCTTACTTTTGATTTTCTATATTTCCATTAGAAATACTAAGCCAATATTAGAACCCATTTTTACTTCTCATCATGTTCTGCAATTAAAAGATGGACTAAATTCATGTCCTTGCTACGTTTAGGCAGTTACAAAAGATTGTCTAATACATGCATTAAGAACAAATTTAGCTAAACTTTAGTGAAGACTTCAAATACATTTTGATGTTAACAAAACTAAAGAATGATTGGACATTTTACCTGTCAATGAAACTCAAAAACCAGCTAACCTCAAATGAGCAGTGGTAATGAATAGTAATTCTGATTTTGATGTGAAAATACAATTGAAATGGATAATGGCCGATTTCGAAGTTCTTTAACTGCCCCTGTTTGGTTCACTTGGTGCTAGGATTTACAGCTCAAGTGTACACTGGCTTTAGAATGCAACATTTATACCCCATGTGTGCAAGATTTACAGCCTTACAGTGTTTTAGTGGCACCACTACCAAAACTATAAATGCATGTTTCTCTATTTCACAATGTTTTAAAAACTTACCCAGAGGCTAAACCGTTTTTGCCTCCAAATAACGAGTCATCGGTTCGACCATTCAGGTCAAACCAGTCAAACCACGCCATGCCATGTCAGTAATATATTGTGTAGGTATGTATAAATATGTATTTTATCAATAAATAATATATTATTATGTTTTACATATAATATATGTTTTATTTTATATTTAATTATATTTTTTAATTCAGTTTTTTATTTTTTTATTTATAAAAAATATTAAAAATTGCAATTTGAGGTCAAGAAAGAGGTTTTTTTGTGAAAATAGCAAGACAAGGCACCTATTGCCCTTAGAACGCATAAATCTCAAAAAATTACCTATAATAAAAAAAAGTCACCTCAATCAAACATTGGAGTGCAGAATTATAACCTTCCAAAGTTTATTTACACATTTGGTATGCAACCCATGACCTGGTCACTGGATCTTCAGGTCGGACAGTTTTTTACCTCTAGGTTTTAATAAAACCGGACCCAAAATCTTGACTGGTTGACGGTTCAAGCAGTTCAGCTGACTAGGTTAATGGCAGGTTGAAAACACTGCTACTGCAGCATTGCTCATAAAACAATTAGTATTTTGAATGGAAGGCTAGAATCACAGAAGGCTTTTGAGGTTTCATTATCGTCCATATTTCATTTTAGAGAATCATGATAATTAAAAGAGTAAGGGTTTTCATGAATTCAATTGCACTGTGAAAGGGACTAGAGATCAAGAAAACATATAGGGGTGAATACCAAAGGCTCCCAAACAAACCATCCACCTGGCTAATCTTGAACTCTGACAGTTTGAGGCCAACGTTAGTTACACTTAAATTTATGTAAAGAACTCCAACCCTGAATTGAACTTGAATTTATCAGGTATTGCTGTCAATGAGTATGGGCCAATCCAACCTAATTGACCCAACCCTATTTCACAGGGCCTTGGTCTACACTTCCACTTTGAGTCCCTTTTAGTAGTAGGGTTAGTTCTGGTCCAGGGTATGCCTTTTGAGATCCAATTATAACAGGATTGAGATTGGTTTTACACCTTCCAACCTGAACATTTTTATACATGCTCATCACGGCTTGCCTGTAACAGGATTGAGATTGGACAGTTGGACACTGCCATTTTATTAAGTTGGACACTAAGAAAGAGGCACAAAGAATTACCTGAAGATCTTGAGGAAAACAAAAGATTCGGCATAGCAAAGTTGTATCTATCAAGTAAAATTCTTGTTACCACTTCCAGCTTTTGATCTATTTGGACAAGTTGAAAATGTAGATTTTGACAAGAGTTTACTTTACAGCAATATAATGGGGACAATGTATCAACTACAGAATTTCTGAATCTTACATCTTCTATAACCCAAATATATGACCTATCTTCTATGGTCCAAAACAAATATATTGACTCATGAAGCAGACCAATGACATGGATAAAAAGACACCATAGCTCTGCATACTCATCTGCAACCTATGCCCCAATAAAGGGCGCCGGTATGTTACAATATAGATATCATGTAATGCAACTACAGAAGGCTCGTGCTTCCAAATGGATTATTGTTCTGAGTATGAAGTACAGGGTTCACAGGGAAGGCACCAAAACCTGTATCACCAAAAGGATTTGATGGGCCCATCATCAAATGCTGTTGCTGTTGCTGCTGCTGTGGATAGTTAAGCTGATAGTGTGCGAAGGGATTTGACTGTTGCTGAGCCATTGCAGCTATTTGAACAGCTGGAGGGGGAGCCACATTGTTAGACATTGCAAATGGATCCTGTACCTCGAATGGGTTTGGAGCTGGGGCTCCATAAACAGGCTGCTGGGCTGCTCTATAGGCACCATCATCATACAAACTATTGAGAGTAAGCGTGTCCAATCCACCAGCCTGAATGTTTCAACATAAAAATAAAAAAGAAAATAAAATAGTCAGACTTAGATGCTCATATCATCATACATCAGAGAATCACATGCTTTAATAGCAATAAATGCTCGTCTTTTAAAAGCAAACACCCCAACCAGGCAACCACCACTACCAAAAAAATAAAACCAAAGTTACACATGTCTGGGACTAAGCGTGTCAAATGCTTCAAAATCAAGACTGATGCCAAAAGGATTGGGCACAAATAGAACATTGTACTAACACTAAGTTTCAAAGCAAACTACATATAAGTAGTAACTATTCTGGCAGTTTCAAATGGAACTCAGATGTTTAAAGGAACAGAGGGATATTTTGCTCTGTGTCTGTTCCATGGAATTTTACAAGGAACCAGTCATAATAATCTATATGTATCGCAAGAAATGAAATTCCATGCACATGACATTTAAATAACTCAGACAATGGAATGGAAGGAACTCTAACAGAACGGCACCATAACATCCAACATATGTATATTATTTAACATGTACCATTTGTGCGAAGGCGTACAAAACCAAAAGATATTGTTGAAGCTGCTATCTATGCATATGTACAATTATGTATTTAAGTCACAACCAAGCCACATAAGTACACAATCATCTAGAATAACCCTATATAATTATGGCTACAATTTGTATAAATATATATCCACCATCATAACGTAAAAAGATAATGTTAAAAAAAAAAACTAGAATTATCTTCTCCTATTCTCTTCTGTTCTAATATTAGCGTAAATATCTAGACATAAATCTACAATTTCAATATTTTGGACTTACGAGTAGGCTCCCATGTCCTTGTCCATGCAAAATGGCTACCTACATAATGAGCTAAATTTTCTGGGTATTTTGATCTGGTCATACATATCCATGCATCATTGCTGAAGAAAGAAAAAGCTTTGAGTTCTTACTAAAGAGAATGCAATTAAAAATCATTTTTCTAATTACAGATAAATGTATTTCTAGAGAAATCCATATAATGCCAAATCCTATTGAACATAGAAAAAATTGATGCCATTTTAATCTCTGTAGACCAGAAGTAATGCATGTGAATGAGCCACTATATGACAAAAAAGGCTAGAGATGGACCAACCAATTGTCTTTCAGTTACTGATGAAATGTTACTGCTTGGAGTAGTAACCAGAGCAAGCTCCCATCCAGTAGGATCAATATCTTTTGCTTGTACAGTACCATTGTCATGGGATGAAATGCTAGCTGCAAATACAAATGCATTTTTTGTCAAGTAATGCAAATGACAAATAACAGAAAGTGGGAGAGAAGGGAAAGAGATCAGGAGGTTAATTGAAGAGAAATGCTTACTTGATGGGACAATAGCTAGAGCCAATGCATTACTTTCCTCTATTGCAGACGCATCAGGATTTGTAGCATTTAATCCCTACAGATTAAAAATAATAAGAAATATGAAAAGTACAAAAGAAAACATATGGGAAGTATACAACAGAATAAACAACAGATGAAATGACAATACAAATTAACTGAAAAGGTTTACCAGAAGATCTCCAGTATCCAGGAAGTCGGGAGGAGGGGGAACAGCAGCCACATCAGTGTTTGAAGAAGCAACATCATCAGAAGGCAGTGGATTGGAGTCATCAACAGAAGGTTTTGCATCAACAGTAGAAGGAACTTCTTCTGGTTTGTATGTCAAAAGGAGTCTCTCTGGTAATTCCTGATTAAGAATGAACAAATGTTAATCCAACACACAAGCCTAAGGCATTGAGTATACTGATTGAAAAATTGCAACACAAACATTCCTTAGATAACAAGGAATCCAAGTATGGTTGCCTTTCTGAACCTAAAGAAACCAGAATATACAATAGCTAATATGAACTAAAAATAATACTCTAGAATCTATTCATGAGAAAAATAGATATTACACTGACCAGTGTCTCCCTTGGACCTGAAACCATGCTTGGTGCTTCTTTTATATATTCTTCCATGGTTACAAGAAATGACTGTGGAGGCTGGACATAGAAAGAGTATTGAGTTAGGACTTAGGAGCAATTCAAACTTTTCCACCAGAGGGAACATAAAATCAAAAAGAACTTCAATGTTAGCATTATCTTTGATCAGCATCAATGGCAGCACTATTACCTCCTTCAATACTGGGAATTGGAAATTCCGAGCAAGCTCCAGTCCCCGACAAACTTCATAGAAATCAGAAAGGCTGCCAGCCTGCAGTAAAAACTTAACTTCTTAAGTAGTGCATTACAACTATTTGACATGTGTTCTTTTAAGTTAGGTACATCAAGCTTAAGACAATCCTCCAAACAACCCTAAAGAGCAAAATAGATAAGGATTTTTTTATAATAAAGAACAAGAAAAAGAAAATACAAGAAAAGGTGATAAGAAATCACCCAGGAACTGAGAGACAGCCAACAACCACCAAAGTGACCAAACAAACATCATGGCTCCAAAAAAAACCAACATCAACCCCCCCCCCCCCGAGCATACACTCAAACAACAGAGTCAACCAACCCCTGACCCTCAAACACAAAGACAGCTACAAACCACCAGAAAAAGAAAAAACCAGGCAGCGAGACACCAATGAGAGCCACCTCTATTCCTCCCCCCTCGAACATCTCCTGCCCATCATCTGCCTCATTCCAGACCTCTCCCCCTTCTCCAACTCACACCTTTTTCAGACTTTCTTCCCTTCTTAAACCAGGCAGATAGAATTAAGAATATTACCTGCTGACCAGCTCGTTTATAGATATCAAGGGCTTTCATAGCTTCATGTCTTGGCATCTCAAAGAACTGCAACAAAACAAAATGTTGTTGAGAATAGAAATAGAAGCTTTCCTGGTTTTTCCAGAAACAAAAGCTACTAATCTACACATGAAAAATAAGATTATATTCACCTTATCAACAAGATTAATGATGCCATCGTTAATAGCACAATAAATTTTAAAGCTCTCTTTCAGTACCTGCAAAATGAGTTTAGAATCATTTTTTATAATAAAAAGAAAACTTTATTCAGAAACAGAAAAGGGCAAATTCAGAATAGGGTGATGAGCTAGCACAGCACCCTTGCATTACAACTAATAACAAGCACAAACCATTAGCTAACATCTCCATAACACCACCAATAGAATTCATTAAATTGCAGCATTTCATGGCAACCAATTGTATCCCAGAATCTAGACCCAAACTCTGCTCTATAAACCTTTTTAAGCTCAGGAGTCAGGAAGAACCAAAACCAATCAATAACTAAATTTCAAATGTCCAAACAAATCTTTTCACAGCTTTCTTCATTTATCCTTGAATAGTCTTCTGTTCAAGAATAACATCCCTTTTCAAATGATTAGGGCAATAGGACCCAGAATAACATCCCTTTGAAATGATTCCTTGATGTCATGATTGTGATACTCAGATCTAAAAATGTCTTTGACTGGAGATACATCTGATCCACCAAATTTTTATCCAGTTTATATTCATTGTCCACCTAATTTTACACACACACTAAACATTTTTAATAAATTATTATGATTTGAGTTTGTTGTCCTGGTGTTGCAAAGTTATCATTGCATGCTGTTAGTGTCGCATTATTTGGGAAAATAAATGTATTTACACCCTTAAGTATACCTTGCTTCCTTACATGGAGATCATATATTATTGTTGAATTCAAAATGCGTCCATGTACTGATACCAGGTTGGTAAACCCATCTTGAACAAATTCCTGTCTCCCAACTACCTAAGAGGGTGAATATATCCAACTCCTATGCGAATAATTGTCAAAAAGAAATATAAATTGATTCAACTCTAGTAATTTCTTTATCATTATTTTGAGATACAAGATGCAGCGTATGTTACTCGCACTGTCTTTCAGTCAGCAACTCAATGTGGGAAACCAGATTTGAATATTTCACTTGACATCAGAAGCTTAAAACTTCCCTTGAAAAATTGTGGAGGCATAAAAGATAAAGTGGGCATAATTCATCAAGAAAAGGGATGAAGTGGGCATACCAGAGCAAGGGCATATTGTATTACATAATTACCAATAGCTGCTCCTTCTGGCTGTAAAGTCAAAATCTAACTTCAGTTTCCTCCTTGATTAAGGGGAAAATGGATAAGCAAAACAAAAGATATATTTAACAAAATACTAACTTCAACAAACTGATCAAAAGGTAACATTAATTTTAACAAGTTTCAAAAGGTACCCGGCATCCAATAAGACGATGCAACAGTTGCTGCAAAGCTGGCAATTGCTCCAGCAGTTCTTCACTGTCCAAATCCCTGGTTCTACTGTAGCCCTGATAACCAAAGGTAACAAAAAACAATAACGGATGCAGATCAACAACTGGTGAACTATATTAGGTAGACACTGCAACTAGCAAATCATATCCTGATGACATAAAATGCTACCTTATGACAATGAACACTGGATGGATGCTTGTGCCATAAAATGCCTAGTAGAAACTAATGGACTTTTTTCAATATTGTTCTCCTCCATAAGGTCCAGAAACCATTTTAAGGTTATAGTGACTGTACAAGATCTATTTTAATATACTTTGAAATTCAAAAGGAGATCATCATCATCATTATCTAAGCCTTGCTACAACTGTATGGGGTTGGATACATGAATCCTGGTTTGTCATTCCATTCTGTTCAGTGTCATATCCATTCTTAAATTATAAGCACTTAAGTCATTTCTTATTACTTCAACCCATGTCCTTTTCGGTCTTCCCCTGGTTTTTCTAGCCCCTTGACAGATCACTTCTTATGGGCGCTGTAGATGGTCTTCTCTGCACATGGCCAAACCATCTTAGTCCTTTTTGAGGGTCTTAGGTTTTAATCATTAACCAATTATTACTTTCAGGTAAATAACATAAGTAATAACCAGGAAGGTGGCTAATTGGGTTTCTACAAGAGAAGAATTCAAAGGGATACATAATTACATATGGATTTGATCATGAGGCATAGCAATTGGTATCTGGTGGATGATAATGCTCTGCAAAGGTGGCAACTTTGATTGAAAAAAAAAACAATGCAAAATTTTCTGTGGATTGGTTGGAAGGACTCCCAAAAATACAATCTGGTAAGCTGGGATAAAATCTACAAGCCTCTTAAAAGCCGGGGCCTGGGGATTAAAAATTAAAGCTCTTTAACATGGCCCTTTTGGGTAGGTGGTTCTGGAGGTTCTTTACTGAACCAAATGAGCTGTGGAAGAAGGTTATTTTTCATAAATATTGCATCCAAAGCAATGGGTGGGACGCAGCTGATTCTGACCGCCCTTATGGTTGTGAAGGTGTGGAAAGGAATCTTCAAAGCTTTTCCTCAGTTCCTGAAAGGGATAAAGTACAAGGTGGAGGAAGGCAACAGGTTGAAAATTTGGAAAGATATTTGGTGCTCTAATCTGCCCCTATTGGAGGTTTATCCAGAATTGTTCTCACAAGCAGTGGATAAAGAAGCTTCAGTGGCTGATTATTTTGTCAGAGATGGGAACTTAGTGACCTGGTCCCCAGTTTATGTGTTTTATGTAACAAGGAGGTGGAAAATTTCAATCAGTTGTTTATGCTTTGTGAGTTCTCTCTTGGTATTTGGTATCACTTTTTCAAGGTAATCTCCTATCAGAGCTGCACGCCTAGTTCACTCAAATCTCTTCTCATAACTTGGAAATTGGGAAAATGTGCAAGAAAGGGAAGATACTTTGGTCGGTTTTACCTCTGGCTGTTCTGTGTCATTTGGGATGAAAGAAAGAGGAGGGGTTTTGAGTAGAAATTCTTTCAAGAAGAGCAGCTGATCAATATAATAGTGGAGACTCTTAGGGGATGACCAAGTGTCAATCCTCTATTTGGACAGGATGTTTATTCTTCTACCTTGTTGACTGTTGTATGTACAGAATCCTGTTGTACAGTGAACAGTCATACTTGTATTCATTTTTTTGCTTAATACAATCTTACCTTACCTTTTCAAAAAAAAAAAAAGTAGAGAGATAATTTGTTAGAAGCTAAAGGCCAGAATCATAGCTGCTGTGGATGGGTTAACCAACTCTAAGAGCCTGCAATAACTCCACTTGTATATTTAAGTGCATTTTACTCGCTATTTTAGAAAAGAAATTGGAAGTTTGAGACTTAAGAACTGAAATCCTAACCAGAGGAAGATGGAGGGGGAGAGGGGATTCAGAACCGTAGGAAAATGGAAGACTGAGGTGGTGATCGAAGCTAAGACCTTCACGTTTGAAGAGGAATGAATCAAAGGTAAGGAAGCACTGAAGATTAGAGAGAACACAGGGTGACAACACTGGTACCAAAGGAGGTCATGGTATGGATGAAAGGCTTTATAGATGGGGCTATCAACTCTGGCAAGGTGAATGGCTGGAAGAATTCAATGTCAGTTCCAGGCAAGAGATATGTAATTGAACTGAAAAGAAATTGGAAGGGGTGGTTCATCATGGTGGAGGAGTTCTTTGGAAGAGCTCGGAAACAATTGCTCTGTGTGCCGGAAGGAAGAATGCAGAAAGGGTGGAGGATTTTTGTGAAGGTGTTGCAGTCATTCCTTGTAGCATCGGAAAAAAAGAAGATAGAAGGAGTGGAGGTTACTGGTCAAAACTCCAAAGACCATGGTCGGAAGGATCAGGAGGAGTCAGTTTCGAGTGGAACTACAGGGAGTGCAGAAGCTCAAAATACCTCGACCGCTGGTACGGTGGTGGCTTGTTCTTCTGTTCATCGAAGAATTCTGGTGGGAGCAGGGACGGATGTTTGGAAGAAAAGAATGGTTCTGGTGGCTGACTTCCAGTGTTGAACGCAGTAGCCGGAGAGATTGGAATTGGAAACGAAGCATTGTTGGTTCCATTTACAGACTCAAAAGCCGTTCTGGATGTTGGCGACCAGGAACTAAGTTTCAAAGCTGTAGAGGTGGACGGAGGTCTGATACAGGTCCAGAATTGGAGTCCCATCTGTAATGAAGTTGCAGTACAAGATGGTTGTGTTCGGCTGAAGTTTGTAGGTCTCCCCTTCCACCTTTGGCGCGACTCTGTTCTTGAACATATAGTACAGAGTTTAGGAGGAGTCTTGGTGGAAGCTGATAAACGCAGCTTGGTCGCCGTCGAGGTAAAGGTGGCTGGGATTAAGCACGAAGATATGCCTAGGTGCTTCGAGATATGCTCGGATGAAGTCTGGTATAAGGTGTGGGTAGCTACAAAAGTGGAACAGGCGTGGTGGGGAAGAGGACCCAAGGTTGAAGACGATGAGCTGGAAGGGTGGTGGACACATGGAAAGAAGAGAGTGGGCAGTCAAAAAGGGGTGCAGGTGGAATTTAAGGAAAGGTTTAATGGGGTGGCTGGGGTAACCCAAACAACAAGTCATCTAATTAAAGGAAATAATTCAAATGTTTTTGAAAGGATTAAAGCTAAGGCGGGCTCCTTATCTTTCGCTGACGTGCCAAAGAAGTGGAGTGGCCCAGGGTGCAGTTTGGTTCGGTTCGAGCCGGTCGAGTTGATAGGAGGGTCGGGCAGGCCGAAGGATAAACCGGGGATATTTTTAAGTGACCCACATGCACCAGCAGCAAGCGACCAAACAAGGGAGCCTCTAGTGGGTCCCACGTCGGAACAGTGAGGAGCTGAGCCCAGGGTGACGCTTCTCAGAGAAGCCAAACCCAAGGTACGCAAGGGAGAGAGCCAAAGAGAAGGAGGCGGCAGACGAAGGATGGGTACTGTGTAGTGTAAATGAGGAAGATTCAGAAGACGGTACAGATGATGGTACCAGTATTGGCAGCGTGAACGATGAAGGCGGCTACGGTGCAGGTGACATGGAAGAGTGGAACATTGCAAGGCTGTTTCAGGGGGACTTGGAGAAGAAAGGGAGGCATGAATTAGGCGGCCAGAAAGATCAGTTAGAGGAAGAAAGAAGCTCGGGTTCCATAAAGTAGGTGAGGCTGAAGATAGTGAATGGAATAACCGATTCTTAAGACTCCAGATTGGGCAAGCAACAAAAGAAAGGGAAAATCAGGAAAACCTAAAGCAGAGCATGAACACACACCAATCAGAGGTGAATTAGGGGTACAGAGGAACGATCACCATGTTAACCAAGGGACAGATGGACTTCCCAACCAACTCAGGGAGACAGATATTTACCAACCTCCGGAACTAGAAAGGGAGGTCAGGACCAATCCTATCCCAACCTCTCTCTCAAACCCAAACTAACAAGTCTTCTGTGTCCTTTGTTCCAGATTCTGTTCCCGATCCATGTCTTGCAGCCCATGTATGTGCAATCAGTCAAGGTGGTGAAACCTCTAAGGCTCTGGGAAGGGGATTGTAAGTTAGTGGAGAGGTGCGGGAAGGAAGGTAATAGAAATGAGAACGTATGGGAGATTATTGAAAGAATATTTAATGAAGTAGAAGGACATATAAATTGGAGAGAGGTGGAGAGGAGAGAAGAGGGGAGGGCTCAGGGGAGGGGAGGGAAGGAAAGGAGGGCTCGGGTGGAAAAGATAATATGGAGTGCACAAAGGAAGTGGGGGGTATTATCATAAGGAGGAAGGATGGTGAGGAGAGAAGAGGGGAGGGACCTAAGGAGAGGAGGATAGGGTTGAAGGGGAGTGTGTAGGAAGGGTAATGGGGGGGGAATCTAAGCAAGAGGATTTGAAAGCGGATTTTGTGGGGAAATTGGGATGCAGATTAGAAAACTTGAATGTGCTAAAAGATGGTCTACAGAAGAGGAAGGAGGTTAGAACAAAGAAGAGAAAATTGAGTGAAGTTGAGAGATTGAAAAGAGATGTGGAAGGTGACAAGAAGTTTGGGGAAAAAGGAGAGAGAAGGAAAGGGGGAAAGTAGTGGTCAAGGGTAGAAGGGAAGTAAGAAAGAAGTGAGAATGAAGATACTAAGTTGGAATGTGAGGGGGATAGGAAGTGCAAGGAAAAGAGCAACAATAAAAGAGGTAATAAAGAGGTTCGACCTAGACATTGTTCTATTGCAGGAGTCCAAGAGGATGGAGTTTAATAACAGGTGGGCAAGGAGTGTATGGAAAGCCAGGGGGATTAGTTGGGTGACTGCTCCCTCTTGGAGTGCTTCAGGGGGGATAGTGACAATGTGGAAGAGGGAAGTGGTTGAAGGCTTGGAGGAACTGATTGGAAGATACATAGTTTCCATGAAGTTCAAACAGAAGGAGGATGGATATGTGTGGGTGCTTACAAATGTCTATGGACCAAATGACTACAGAGAGAAAAGAATTGTGGGAGGAATTGGCTGATGTAAGAGGACTATGCGCCTTGGTGTGTGGGTGGAGACTTCAATGTGATTAAATACCCAGAGGAAACTAATAAGACCAATCAGAGGGTGACAACAAGCATGAGGAAGTTTAACAGGTTTGTAGATGCCTTTGAGCTTAAGGAGATATCGTTGGCCCAGAAGACATTTACTTGGTCAAATCTCCAAGCTAGTCCCATATGCTCTAAGTTGGATAGGTTCCTGTTTTTTGTGGAATGGGAAGAACACTGGGGGAACTTGACATCTAGAGCTCTACCTAGGGTGACCTCGGATCATTGGCCCATAGTGTTATGCAAGGAAGAGAGAAGGAGTGGAGGACCTGCCCTGTTTAGATTTGAAAATATGTGGTTACTCCACCCCGGGTTTACCAAATGAGTAAGGGAGTGGTGGAATGAGTGTAACCCATTGGTGGAATGGGAGGGGATGAGATTTCATAAGAAACTACAATTTTTGAAATAAAGATCAAGGAGTGGAATATCCTGGAGTTTGGGAGGTTAGAAGAAAGAAAGAGAGATTTGACAGACCAATTTGAAAGCCTTGACTCTAAAGAAAAAAGGGGAGAATTTGGAGAGAAAGACAATGAACTAAGAAAGGGCTTGAGAAGATAGTTAGAGGATTGCCTACATAAGGAGGAAATAAGTTGGAGGCAAAAATCTAGATGTAAATGGTTGCAAGAGGGAGACAAGAATACCAGGTACTTTCATTCTTTGGCAAATGGAAGATGAAGGAGAAATTTCATCTCCAAATTGGTTGTGGATGGAACCGAGTTAGCTCAACAAGAGGAGATAGTCGGGGCATGTGTAGAACACTTTAAATCCATTCTAAGAAGGCCTGTAAATGGAAGGGTGTAGGTAGAAGGTTTGGACTGGCTAGATGTAGCGGGGATAATAGGAGGAGTTTGGAAGGGAACTTTAACTTGGAAGAAATTAAGGAGACTGTGTTTTCTATGGACAGAACAAAAGCTCTAGGGCCAGATGGGTTCACAATGGCTTTTTATCAGAACTGTTGGGATATTTAGAAAGAGGACCTTCTGATGGTTTTTGAGGAATTTCATAGTAGAGGAATTGTTAATCCGGGGCTGAATTCCACTTTTATAGCTTTGATTCCCAAAAAGAAAGAAGCTTCACATCCAAGGGACTTCAGACCAATCAGTCTGGTAAACAGCTTGCACAAGATTATAGCAAAGGTGTTATCTTTGAAGCTGAAGAAGGTATTGCTAGACATGATTGAACACAATCAAGGTGCCTTTGTAAGTGGAAGACAGATTACAGATCAAATCCTCATTACTAATGAGAGTGTGGAGAGTTTTAAAAAGGATAAAAAGAAGGGAGTGGTTTGTAAGCTGGATATGGAGAAGGCTTATGACATGGTGGATTAGGAATTCTTAAGGAAAGTTATGTCCAAAACGGGGTTCGGGGCTAGATGGTGCAAATGGATCATGGGTTGTATTCGGAATTGTCATTATTCAGTGCTAGTGAATGGGACAGTGGTAGATTTCTTCCAAGCCACTAGGGGTATAAGACAGGGAGACCCCTTATCTCTTTTTTTGTTCTTACTAGTTGCTAATGTTCTAGGTATAATTGATCCACAGAGCAGACTCTAGGGGTCTCATTAGAGGCTGGAGGGTTGGAAGGGAGGGCATCCCACTCACTCACTTACAGTTTGCTAATGATACAATCCTGTTTTGTGAAGGAAGTAACTTGAGCTTCATCAGGAATTTGAAACTGGTGATCCATCTATTTGAGCAAATGTCAAATTTGAAGATGAACTTTGGGAAGAGTTGTGTAATGGGTGTGAATCTGGAGGAGAGAGAGATTGGGGAGAGTGCAGAAGTACTTGGGTGTGAAGTCTTAGGGTGGCCTTTGAGTTATTTAGGGTCGCCCCTAGGTGATAATCCTGAGAGAGAGCTTTTGGAATCCGGTGGTGGAAAGATTTGAAAAAAGACTTATCTCTTGGAAAAAGAATTACCTCTCTCTGGGTGGTAGGATTACACTGATCAAGGCCACGTCAAACATACCCATTTACTTCCTTTCAGTGTTTAAGATTCCAAGGAAGGTTTGTAGTAAGCTTGAGAGGTTGATGAGAGATTTCCTTGGGAGCCGGGAGAGGAGAAGAGGGACCATAGAGTTGGCTGGAAGGTGGTGACTAGGAATAAAAATTTTGGTGGTTTGGGGCTTGGGAACATTGGGAAAAGGATTTCGGCCCTTTTGGGGAAGTGGTTGTGGAGGTTTCCTTTGGAGCAGAAGAAGCTATGGGCAAGAATAGTGGCAAGCATACATGGGTTGGAGAAAAATGGATGGGATGCTGGAATCAAAGCAAGGACCACAAGCACTTCACCTTGGAAACCCATTCATGATCTACTTCCAGTTTTCTCCCCTCTTGTCAGGTATGATTTGAATTCAGGTAATTCCATAAAATTTTGGGAACAAATTTGGGCAGAGGATGCTCCTCTTAAGGACCAGTTTCCTTCTTTGTATGCTCTTTCTGATTTTAAACATGAGCCAATTTCTTCTTTCATCACCCATTCCTCTTCCAGTTTGGGGTTTGGGTGGAACCTGGGTCTGAGGAGGGCTGTGAGGGATTCAAACCTTGATAGTATTTCGAGCCTCCTTGAACTTCTTGATAATGTGTTCTTAGACCCTTCTAAGGTGGACTCTAGAATTTGGACCCCTACCCCCACGGGCTCTTTTTCCTGTGCTTCCTTTTTCAAAGTCCTTTGCCAGTCCACCAATCCTACAACCTCCCCTTTCCCGGTTAATGAGGTTTGTTGCAGACCAATTTCTCCTAGGGTTGGTGGTTTTTGTTGGGAAGTCTATTTGGAAAGATCCAACATTGGGGATTTGCTCCAAAAGAAGAGACCCAATACCTGCTTGTCACCTCATTAGTGTGTTCTTTGCAAAGCAGATGGGGAGACTGGTTTTCACTTACTGGTGTCTTGCCAATTTGCGAAGTCAATTTGGGAATGGGCTTTTTCTCTCTTTGGGTGCAGGTGGAACCCTCCATCAGACTTGCAGAGCCTTTATTCCCCTTCTTTTTTCAAGTAGCACATGAAAAGGGGAAGGACTATGTGGAGAGGGCTGAGAGCGGCAGTATGCTGGTCATTATGGGAAGAAAGAAATTCTAGGATCTTCTCAGAAAAAGAGAGAATGGCTGAAGAATTGATGGTCGTGATCCATATAAGGGCTGTATAGGGGCTGAAATCACTAGAGCTATTTACAGACTACACAGTGGAAGACATGTTGAGAAAGTGGAGTGAGATTGCAAATTGCACACAGATCAAACCAATAATAAGGGTGTCTTGGACTCCCCCACCTGCTGGCTTCTTAAAATTAAATTTTGATGGGAGCTATAGGGGAAATCCTGGACAATCAGGGATTGGAGGTGTTTTTAGGGATGAGAACGGGATCATCTCTGCCCTGTTCTCAGGCCCAATTGGTGTGGGGGATTCCCTTAGAGCTGAGATCTTGGCAATTATGGAAGGAGTTCAGAAAACCAAGGAGATGAATGTTAGAAGACGCTTAATTGAAGGGGACTCAGAGGTGGTGATAGGGTGGCTGATTAAAGACAACTGCGGCTTATGGATCTACAGAAATGAGAAGAGGAAATTCAGGTGGCTGGTGCGGGGGATGGAAATCAGGATGGGTTGGGTTAAGAGATCAGCTAATTCTTTAGCTGATGGGTTAGCTAAACAAGGGATAAAAAGGGAAGCAATGTTTTGGACTAAGTTGTAACTTAACTGTTTCTTTTTTCCTTTTCCCTCTTTGGAGGATTTAAGTTGTATTCGGAAGATAAGAGTGTTTGTCTTCTGTGCTGTAATTAGTATGATGTTTCAATGAGTATAATGAATCTGTTATTGATCAAAAAAAAAATTGGAAGTTTTAGCACTTCTTTACAATTCCAAATTGATGATCATGTCCAAGTAACAATATTGAAGCTGTTGATCGAAGATAGAATATAAGAAACCAAAATAGAACTATAACGAGGATTGTTTCTCAAACAATTATAGGATTCTATGTTATCTTCTTTTCTTTTTGTCTATTTGAGAAAGTTTCCTCCCCATAATTTGTTGTAAACCCAGCTTGTAAATCTTTCTCTTAGCAATCCTCCATAAAAAAAGACTGTACAATGAGCTAGTTACAACATTACATGAAGACATACCTTCTCCTGTCCTTGAGCAGGTCTTGGGAGACGTTCAGCTTCAACATCATATTTCAAAATCCTAAAGCATTCCAATCTTTCCTCCAAAAATAGTGCATATGTACGAACCCAGGCAGAGCAATCCCAAGCTGAAATAAACAAACATTAGAAAATAAGAACCACATTTTTTATCCTCAACACATTTGACAGCATAAGTCTGTGTTCAAAAAGAAAATTGTATAAAACAATAAAATTCTGACAGACAAATGCAGGGTCTGATAAATTAACCAATAGGGCTTGAATCATCTTTGAAGTTAGATAGCTGGAGAATGCGTCCCCTCTGAGAGAAATTCAAAAGCTCTTCCCGGAAGGTAGGATCACCCTCCCGTAAGGTTCTATGAATAACTATTAGAGTTTTTAGTGCCACCTGTACAGTGCAAAAGAAAAAGCAGCAAGTATATTATTAAAAAAAAGTAGCAAATATAAGAGTTTTTTTTATAAGTGAAGTGAAATTTTATCAAGGTAGCATATATAATCAATACAAGCATATCCCTTAAAGAGACACGAGGAACTACATCTTACAATAAAAGGAAATAAAAAACATATTACAATTATGCCCAATACAACTAATTTCTGTTCACCCCTTGCACAAGGAACTACCTCTTCATCTCATCCTAAAACACCATAAAATAGGCTCTGTTCTTGCAGCCATCCTATCACCACTTTTCAGTCCCCTTCAATCTTTGTGTTAGCCATATTCAGTTCATATGCAATCTGTACACCTTGTAAGGCAGCAAGCATTTCAGCCTTGACAGAATCACCCACTCCCACTAGAGTGGTAAATAAGGCTATGGAATGACCATCTTTATCTCTCATCACCCCTCCTATTTCAAAGGGGCCTGGGTTTCCTTGACTGCTCCCATCAAATTTAGCTTCACATAGAAAAGCTTAATTTTTATTGATTGGCAAAAATAAACCTTCCAACTAACCAGCGGCAAAGGAATTTCTATGGAGGGCGAGAGAGGTTTCAGAGCAGTAGGAAGATGGAGGTCTGAGGTGTCGGTCAAAGCCAAGACGTTCAAGTTCGAAGAGGAAAGGACCAAAGGCAAGGTTGTACTGAAAATCAGAGAGAATAACAGGGAGACAGTGTTGGTGTCAAAGGAGGTTATAGCATGGATGAAAGGTTTCATAGATGGGGCTATCAACTGTGGTAAGGTGAATGGTTGGAAAAACTCCATGTCAGTTCCAGGCAAGAGAGATGTAACAGAACTGAATAGAAACAAGAAGGGGTGGTTCGTCACTGTGGTGGAGTTTTTTGGAACAAATGGAAAACAAATGCTTTGTGTGCCGGAAGGGAGACTGCAGAAAGGGTGGATGGCTTTTGTGCAGGTGCTGCAGTCTTACCTTGTAGCTTTGGAAGAGAAGGGAGTGGATGGAGGGAAGGCAACTGGCCAAAAGCTTGAAGACCAGAGTCA